TTCAGGAAGTAGACTAAATTCAACAGAAGTCTAGCAGACTGTGATAAAAACTGTGCTTCCCTCTTACTATGGCTCTGTAGCCTCATTCATTTCCTGGAAACATACTGCTCCTTTCCCAGTGTGAAAACTTCAGATGACGTGCTTGTTAGCATACCAAAAATCAGCTTAAAAAGCTATTTAATGTTAATTTACTGAGATAATTTGCTTTCCAGTAGTTTAATGATGGATGTATAGGTACATCCATATGTGCAGATCAGAGCAGTGAACATAGGACTCACAACTCCAAGGAAGGTAGCTTCATTCCATGTGCCCAAGGTCTGTGTGAGAATTCCTGGCTGCTGGCGTCAGTCTCCAAGACTCATTGTTGTGGATGAGAGAGTTCAGTGTGGATGGTGCTTGGAGCAGAGGGAGGGTGACAGGACTGGGGGGGCACCAAGGAGCTGCTGGCACAGGCACTGGGGGCACTCACCAGTGGGCACTGCCAGACACAATGATGCAGTCAAGTGTATGTAAGCAACAGAGGTGGGGGGAAAAAAAGGAAAACAAAAGGTGCCATAAATATCTCTAAAAAGAGCTAATGACTGATGAATGCGTTGAATGGAGACATGAGAAATCATTTTGTGGATTAATTTGTATCTATAGTGATTCAGTCGGATGCCTCTTGGCCAATTTTTAGTTGATGATTGCTGTTCTTTCCGTCTCAATCCTTCTCGCTGGTGCCTTCTCTGTAATCCTCTTCTGCAACAACACATAATGCTATCTAAAACACGTAACACTATGTAAAAAAAATATAGTGTGTCTGGAACAAAAATGTCAAACATCAATGAATTACTGTTCACAAACAACTTGTGAACAAGTCTTGCAGATGTATTCATCCTGTGCTGTGACTTGGGATTGTTTACTATGTGCCATAGGATGTACACTGCAGATAGGTAATGGGGAGGATTCTTAGCTCAGGTGGGGCTTGGAAGAAGGAAAGGGGTTCTCAAAGGTTGAATTAGGAGGCATTATGAATATTCAGAACACCATGTGTAGCTTTTTGAAATACATAGCTGTTCTGATGCACATCCAAAATCTGTCATAATATAGCTCGGATTTTGCATGTAGAAAGCATGGTTTTGGTGAATTTAGGAGGAGAGGGACAATTGGAGTAGGGATCAGGACTAGCAGTTTCTGTGTGCAGGCCACCTTTCCTGGTTTCAAGCTGCGCATTATATGTGCGAGCATTAAAAGTTTTACTGACTTTCCAATGAATCCAGAGACTGCCTGCTTTGCAAAGAAGAGATAGTGTTTATTTCTTCTCTTAATTTGAGAGCATCATTTTCCCAATCAGGTCTAAAAAAAGCTGAACAAAGGATGACTTTGTTTCTGTATAATTCATGGAACCTCTACTGTCATAACCTTTTAAACAGTTATTTTTATTTAAGATGTGCAAATTTCAAATCTTTGTTTAATGGGCTACACAAATGGCATAATAAATGTTTCTTTCCAAGACATGGTGCATAAGGTATTTCACAAGCAGTTACTGAAATGTTATAAGCTGAGTATATGAATAGCATATTTTATCTAAGTACAGTATGTTAACATGGTATATAATAGAACTAAACAAGCTGTAATCTAATCTAGGCCTTTGGCTCTGTAAAACTATAGGGGTGGGGAAGCTATTATCTTTTGGATTTAAAGTTCTTTTTAAGTATTAGCAGAAGGACGATTATTTTCTGATTCCGTGTCAAAATTCTCTTGAAGTGTCTTACGTAAAAATGGCAGTTCAGATCAAGAGAGGTTTGAGACTAAGTTAGGACATGAATTTAATATGATTGCTTGGGGGTTTTTAAAGGAAAAAAAAATCTATATAATATTATTTTGAATAGTTAATATACGGTATTTCAACAGGGGAAGCACTGAATAGATCACCACAATCTATTTTATGCCATCAGGATTTCTGAGGGGGCTTATAATTGTGTTAAATTTTCATATTACTCATATTCACACATTAATGAACAGATGCATTGTTACTATTGGGATTTTGCCATTTGGCCTTTCACATCTCTAATCGTGTTTTCTTACTGAGATCTTTACCGTTCTCGCAGAAATTCAGTCATTGATACATGGCTGTCTACCGCATTCATTCCTCCCCCCCTTATTCGTCCGCGGCTCTGCCGGCATCCCCGGCGGGCTCAGCGTGCTGGGATGGAACTCGAGCTCTCCGGCCGGGCGCTTGCACCCACAGAGCTCAGAGTCCCCGGAAAGTGACACCGGGACCGAGCCGGGGGCAAGCAGGGGCTCGGGCAGGGAGGGACGCGAGCGAACAGCGGTTCGGGCGGACAGGGATGCCGGCAAACGGGGATTCGGGCAGGCAGGGATGCTGGCAAACAGGTGTTACGGCAGGCAGGGATGCCGGCAAACAGCGGTTCGGGCAGGCAGGGATTCAGGCAAACAGGGGTTAGGGCAGGCAGGGATGCCGGCAAACAGCGATTCGGGCAGGCAGGGATATGCCGGCAAACAGCGATTCGGGCAGGCAGGGATGCCGGCAAACAGGGATTCAGGCAAACAGGGGTTAGAGCAGGCAGGGATGCCGGCAAACAGCGATTCGGGCAGGCAGGGATGCCGGCAAACAGGGATTCAGGCAAACAGGGGTTAGAGCAGGCAGGGATGCCGGCAAACAGCGATTCGGGCAGGCAGGGATGCCGGCAAACAGGGATTCAGGCAAACAGGGGTTAGGGCAGGCCGGGATGCCGGCGGCCAGCGCAGCGGGGCTCTGGCAGCCCCGGCTACTGAGCGGCTGCTGTAGCTTTAAGGCGGCAAGTTAGGTACAAGACTTGCGCTTCTTTCCGAGCGTACCACGGCGAGTATTTTGTCTAACCGCGAGGGAAGAACTTTGTCGTGGACTTTGTCGACAATGGGCTTAAAAGTAAGACGGGCTGCTTTTGGTGCCTGGAGGCTCCGGAGCCCATTGTCAGCTCACAATGGATCCCTACTGCCGCATTCCTGCTTTGCGAAGGTTTGTTGGCTTTTAAAGACTGACGGCTCTCCGCCGTAAATGCCGCATTAGCTCCGGCCTGTTTACACGCTGTTCCGGAGTTTTCAGAAAAACACAGAGGAATGGTAATTTTAAAAATATATATTAAGAAAGGAAACAAGGAAAAGGGGCAGTGTTTATCTGACCTATTCACGTTGTGGGCAATGGTTTCCTCCATGGGTGCTTCGAGGGGACGGACGAACTTGAGCACTAGCTGGGCAAGGGCCCGGAGCCCGGCGGCGCCTCCGACTCAGCAGCCGCGCACGGACCGGGCTCCGCGCGGCATCCCCAGAATTTCGTGACATTAGAGACAAGTTTTAGAGATTCTAGCGGAGAAATCTCATTCGGGCTAGCCCGGGGAGCGCCCGCGGATGCACAGAAATGAGATCGGGATGCTGTCAGGTGAACAGAACCCGAACGGAACCAAACACCCTCCTGTGCTGTCGGTGGCATCCGAAGGTTGTCGCTGCTCTCTCGGCGAGATGTGGGCGCGGGGCTGCTCCCGGCTCGGGTGTCTGCCTGTCCTTCTGCCTGCGTGCGCACAGGTTTATGTGAGATGCAGGATAGCATCCCTGAGACCGTGGTTCCCTGGGCCATCAGTGCTGCCCTGCGGTTTAAGGGAGGCCGGGCTCGCTGAGCGGCGGCGGCTCCACGGGAGCGCGCAGCCGGCAGAGCCGCCCCGAGGAACCGCAGCGCCTCCGAGCTCCGAGCTGCTGCTTCAGAGAGGAGGTGGAATTAGCCAAACGAGATAATGAAGGTTGCTCGTAATGGCTTTTACTGTGGGGAAAGTTAACCAATTGCTAATAATTGTATGGTCTCTAGGCCAGACGGTCCCTTTGATAAGTTAACATGTAGTCCCTTTATGCTCCTGGTAGGGGGTAAACAAATGCCTGAACAAATACAAATACACATAAACACGAATGTGGAGAATAGCAGTATATGTCTTAGATCCCGATAATAAGTGTGGGTATTGTTATTTAGATAGCACATACTGGGACACTTATCTTTTAGTACACTCCATTTTCTAACTGAATGCAGTGCTAATCGTGGGATTGAAAGCTATTGTAATTGTGTACCCATCTAAATGCTGACAAGAATATACAATTACATTGTTTGGAATTGAGTTTAATGTTCTCTGAATTTTATTAGCATTTATATTTACTTATGCATTAAAATTCTACACAAAAAAGAGGTCAGAATACAAGCGTTGCAGACATAAATTTCAGACCCATCCACATCCTCACTGCATTTTTCCTGAAAATACCGAACAAATATATTTTATTTTATTTTTAAAGGAAGTGATAGAATCTGAAATGAGCAAATAATGGGTTTCCATTCTAAGCAATGCCTTTTCTCCCTCTGGATTTTGCAGTCTTTAAAAGCTTTTTTCCATATCCAACTTTTTATTATTATTTATAAATGCGTGTGTTACCAGAAAATCTTTCCACAGTGTGCTTACCACCACACGATGTTTAAACACACATTATAAAGTGGATGTAATTGTAAAGACTCAGAGGGATATAATTACATGTAGCAGATTTAGGAGCTAATTCTTTGCTTCTCTCTCTCTCTCTCTTTACTCCGCATTTTATCAACATAATTATTTTTTGACTGCAGACTAACACCCAGAAACTTACAGGCATCCATTATAGGCAGCAACTTGTTCACCAAATTTAAAAACAATGAGCTGCAGGTTTATGTGTGCCCATTGTAATACAGAATTACTGGAGCTTTGTTCCACTAGAGGAAAAAGCTAATGGTTTTGAAACAGCCGGTGACAAAACACATTCAGTGTTTTTCTTTTTTGTTCCCCTTTTTTTTTTCTCTTCCCTCTCCGCTTATCAGTTTGTTGATGAAGTCATTACGAACTGGGGCCCAGAATAGGGTTGGCCTTATTTTTAGCAGATAGACTTTTAATGAATTCTGTTGTGGAGACAGTCATGTTGATTTGCTTACGTTTTTTTTCCCCCCCTTCACTCAGAAACTCCCAGTATTGAAAAGCTACTATCAAAGGACTGGAAAGACAAGCTTCTTGCCATGGGATCAGGGAACTTTGGAGAAATAAAAGGTAACGCTGTTTCTCTGCTAAAGGAAATTAAGAATGAATATACAGATAGCGCTGGCTTTATGGAACTTTGTCTACTCCTCTTCCCCTCCCCTTCAAACATGGTAATTTGGGGTTTAAATGAGATGTATGCACTCCCATCTGTGATAATATAAATCAATGAAATGGTATATTGCCCTTAGTGAATGAATTTACATTAAGCTTTTCTTCCATATATTGTTCTCTGTTATAAACAAGCACATCCTATTGCTGGATAAGGGAAAAAAAAAGTCAGTGTCAGACATATGTGGTACCAGAGTATAGCCGACCTCAGTTTCTGAAATTTGAGGGTGATCTGATTTCCTTGTTTATTTTTGGATAGACTTTGATGATGTCGATTTTTTTTTTCTACTTTTTTTGAATGTAGGGCAGAATAAAAAGAGCAAAGTTTGTGTAATGATACCTCTAGGTACTGAAATTAGCTAGTGCAGATTTTAAAAGACAGCTTACAACATCTGTGCACTAAAGCATGTTCTTGTAAAGCCGTACTCCAGAAGGAAAATGACAAAATTTGACCACTCTCCAGCAGCAGTAGTTTCTGCTTTGCCAAGATATTTCCCCATTTTATATATCTGAGGTCATTTTAGGGAACCTGTGGTTGTTTGTTTTCATGTAATTTAATATTTTTATAATTCCTCTGCAATGCTTATGATGAGAAACTCACTCAAAATACACATGTCAAAACCTGTAAATTTCAGAGCAGCCATTATCACTCTGAAAAGAAACAGTGATTCTGATTCTTTTCCCGTTTATATCAGTGTACATCTGGAGTAGCAAAACCCAAGCCAATGTTGTTTTGGAAATGTGAAAGTAGAATGAAATTAAAATTAAGCCAGTCTCCCATTTTTATAAACAGGGTTTAGTTTCTGTCCATTACTTTTGGAATGTTTACTTGCTAATGTTGTCCCTGGTCTAGAGATCCTCACTCAGGCAGGCTCCCAATCCTTGTGCCTGGCAGGTTTAAGGACCCTGTGCACAAGGGGTTGGCAGCATTCAGTAAAGCACGCAATACAAGATGCTCTCACACCTGGGTTGGTGTGGATGCAAAAAAAATAACATATTCTAATTATATGGGCCTTCCAACTTGTCACTGGTAAGCCACTAGCATTAGCCTGTGCTATTCCACTGACTTACCCAAACAGGAAAATATTCCCCTTGTTTCCCCACACTGCTCCCTAGGAGGCCGTAATTAAAAAATAAATGTACATTATATATGTAGAATAAATTTATAGCAGAATGTAGTGGTCCAGTCCCCAATAGGCTGAGATGCTGCTGTGATGATGATGGTGATGATTACTGCTACAGAGGGCCAAATCCTGGGTTCTTCATTCCTGCTCCATGTGTGTAAAGCAACAGGTCTTAAAGAGGAATGGCAGCCACTGGGCTTACCTGGGAGTTCTGGGTTTTAAAAGCACATTGTTTCAAAATGACATCATCCTTTGCCACAAACTGATGAATCTTTAAGCTATTTCAGGGACAGAGTATGTGGAGACATCTTTCATACCCACTTTTGGGTATGTATTTCAGCAGATCTTGCACAGCATGTGCAGCCTCTTTAATTCTTGACACACTGGAACCTTTAGAAGGACTCCCGGTGATTCTCCAGTGCCTTTGCACTCCGTAGAGCTGCTCTGAAGAGTGCTGTGCACTGAGAAGGTGGTCTTTTCCCTGTGCCTATGATCTTTTTCTTTTGGAGTACAATCTTTTTTCTCCCTCTTTTTCCCTTTCACAAGCTAAACTTGAAAGCAGCAGCAGCCAGATATGTGCTACCACCAGAGAAATTCAACAGTCCTTTCACTCATGCCTGGGGGAGAGGATGGGGAGCAATAGCACAGCCTCAAAGAAGACTTTTCTTTGCTTTAATTTTTGGTTTTTAGCTTTATATTTTGAACACAAGTCGAGTTATTGTTCTGTAGCTCTGTTCAAAAGCCTCACATCTGAGGCTTTTTAGTGCAACTGTGGTTCTGTGGTTGGGGGCATGGTTATTAGGTGTTTGGATCAAGTTTGGCAGTAAGCTGTGAAAACAAGCACTGGTTTATTTTTCCTACTGACTGCCGTGACAGTTGCAATTATTGTCCATTGTTCCTAGGTGGCTAGAAAGGAGGGAGGATACAATAGAGCATTGCCCTCTGGGGGTAAATGAATTTGACTTACAGATTCTTGGGGGGTCAGGCAGGCTGATTATTTAGTGCCCAGGAATGTGGTTTTCATGGCACCATCAACCCTGAGCAGCCAATAAACAATGGCTCAGCTGTATTGCAGCTATGTTTAGTGAGGCAGCAGGAAAGGTGTGCAAGTTGAGCTCCTCTGTACCCACACACACGTGTACAAACACACATATATTATGCTACAAAATGATTTTGTCATTCTAAGTTACAAGGTTTTCCAGTTGTGATTTTTAAAATTAACTTCTTTCTCTACACTCGGCCCAGCAGCTGCTTTTTTTCCACCCCTTATTTCTCTATTAGTGATATTTGGAAACCCCCATTAAAGTACTGTCTTATTATTAATACACCCTGGAATGTGGACAGCACTAGGAGCTGTGCTGCCCAATTGTCTTACCCACTGAATAGTTTTTCCCATTTAACTGTTCAAAATTTCGTTGTGTTTTTCATTAGGTCTGGGGGAGTTTTAGTACATCATGTGCAAAAAGTCTCAGCCCTAGGCTACATATTGTTAATGCCCAAGTCTATGTTATTACCACTGAGTTTTATTATCTGGGAGAGATTAAAGAAAGCTAGATGAAGAGGAAGACTTAATTTTCTATTAGTGTGATTTCTTTTAAGTTAGAAAGTAGTAATATTTTATTAAAGACATGGAAATTGGTGAATGGTTGGAAGTGACCAGACTCCCATGTTTTGTATTCAATTGCTCTCTTGGTTGCTTTATCACCTTTGGCTGCTACTTTAAACCTACCCTTTCTCCATCTCCATGCCTGTAAAACAGAAGAGCCATCACCGAGTATCTGCAGAGAGGTAGCTGCAGACTTTAAGATCCCAGAAGGGCCTATAATATAAGGGTCAGTTACTTTTCCTTGAAATGTATTGTTTTATTCCACTGAAAAGGTCCTGCAAGGGAATGCTCTTAAAATGGGCGAGAATCTAGAACCTTTCATGTCTGTCGAAATTGTAACTCAAATACCTATATTTGTTCAGAGAGATAATTTGGGCCTAAATTACAAGTTTGGCACTGGAGATTCCTTGAGAAATTCTGTTTTAATATCCATGGAATTCTTGCTCTGCTCAAAACAAGTTGCTGTATAACAAAACCTGCAAAAAGTGCTGTTTGATTGAAGCATTTTAAAGTGAAGCTGTAAAACTGTATATTGACTTGGTTAAAGTCTGTTCAAACTTACTTATATCCATCCTATTCAAATCCAGGGCTCAAAAGGCCTCTGGATTATTCTTGGATAATGCACTTTATTGGATTTGGTGGAACAGAGAGATCTTCAGGTCTCAAAATGATGGTGTACAGGAAGGAAAATCATCCCCCTTTTCTGCTGTCAGTGTAACTGCCTTGTTTGCTGTGCATTGCAGCAGGAAAGTAGGTGCTGTCCTCCAGTGTTAGGAGGAGAAGGAATCAAAAATAAATTTATGCCTTAATTATTAGTGATCATTCCTATATATATAAAATTAACATGAAGCATCTTTTTCACTGGCTCTGGGCCTCAGGTGCATCATGGGTTGTCCAGCCTTGTTCACACTGGTGTGAGTGAGGCAGCCTTAACCACGATGAAAACTCTTCTTAAAACTTCCTTGGTGTGCATAAAGCCTTGCTGCTAATCTTGTCCATCTCTCTGTTGAAACTTGGCAAGACATAGTAATGCATATTTTTTATGTTTCCCACAAAGCTAATTTTGAATAGGTGTGTGGAACAAAAGGTTAAACAGACTTCTGTTTCCAATCTTTCTGAGTTGGTTTTCTGTTGAAGGCATTGTTAACAGTGATTGTGCCCAGATATCTCAGGAAAGACTGGGCAGGTCTGAATCTGATATATTTTTTGTTGCTGTTTGAAAAACCTTTTGCATTGTGCAGGTTAGTTTGTAAACAACTCAGGTGAAGCGTTCTCTGCACTCCCTGTGAAAGGGATTGTCGTTGGGTTAAAATCATCTCTTCATTGTATCCACTGAAATCTGGGTGACCCTGGAGGCTGTACTGGAGTTATCACAGATTTATGGATGTAATTGAAAGCGACATTAGCTTACCAACCGTGATCTTCAGCTCACGATAACACAGACGTTTGTTTTGCGTGAGAAACTGGGTTCCAGGTTCCAAGGAGTGTCAGTGGAGGTATTGTCAGGCTGTGTCTGATGTGAGATGGAGCTGTGTCTGCTGGAGACTCTGGTTTTGCTCGTGTTCTCAGAAGATGAGGCACGAGAGAGTACGCGGTGGATGGTCTTAGGGCTGTCAATAATGGATAAAGAGAAATAATCCATTCAGCAATACTGTAGCTCATCAGAGCCCATGAATTAAAGACATATGTTATGTAGATTCAATGTATGGATTAGAACGGATAATCTGGTAGGTGACACACAGAATCTTGAGATAAGTGAGCTATGCAGATTCGGTGTATGGATTGTGACGGATAATTCCATTTAAGTAATGCTGGACAAGTTGAAGACAAGTAAGCTTTGAGTAGTGCTCAGGTTGTGTGCAGTAATCCAGTGAGTGACACTTTGGATCGCATAATCTGTAAACTAAAGACAAGATTCTGCATTTCCATGTGGACAGGAAGAAGGAGGGGGAAAGGGAGAAAGATTATTCATGGGGAATACACTGGGTTTAAACCTTTGACTAATACAGCACAGATCCCCAGGACATGTGTGAAATCTGAGCGCCTTCTTAGGGAGCTGCCTGAATTTTGCGTTTGCAAATTAATGGTTCAAAAATGTGTGCAAACTTGTGTCAGCTGTGGATGTTCTGCATTATTTTTTTGTGAGTAGTATTGTAAGTGGAGTGGCAAGA